TCCAGCCCCAGAGCAGCCACAAAGTCGGCGCCTATGTCTCTACTCATTGTCTCCCCTTCCAGGAAGTAGTAAAATCATTTTAGCACATTACCCTGGACCCCTTACCTCTCTCAGGCGAGCTGGTTTTTGATTCCTTCTCCTGAAGCTGGCAGCTAGAAATGCCCTCAGTTACTGATGCCCATTGGAAATCCTCACTCTGCCCTCTGTAACTCCTATGGAGCTGCATGGGTGTAAGAGGAGAGAATTGACACCTCAGAGTACCATAGGTGTGTGATCTGCTACACAGAGACTGCTGGGAGCCAGTGTGAATCTCTACACAGACTTCAGGACAGCCCTAATTTGTGCCCCTGGTTCAGTGGCCCCCATAGAGTTTTGCAGGGGTGCAGAATCACCAGGGCACATTTGGTCATGTCCCCTACCAGAAGTGGGTTTCAGACACGGCTGTTTGCAGACCAAGTACAGGCAACCAGAAAGTGCACCTGCCATCACTGATGCAGGGTCCAGAAGAGTAAGGGAAGGGAGGGATGCTTTGTGCACAAACCACCTTGCATCACACTGGGAGATTCATATATTCCAAGGCAAGAATGGACTGCTGTGGTCACCTAATCTGATCCCTGAGGATAACACAGGCCAGAGACCTGCCCCAACATAACCCTTTGAGCAGATCTTTCAGAAAAATGTCCAACCTTGATTTTAAAATGGTCAGTAATGGAGAATCCACCATAATTCCCTCAGGGGAGGGATAGCTCAGTGGTTTGAGCATTGGCCTGTTAAACCCAGGGTTGTGAGCTCAATCCTTGAGGGGGCCACTTAGGGATGTGGGGCAAAAATCAGTATTTGGTCCTGCTAGTGAAGGCAGGGGGCTGGACCCAATGACCTTCCAGCTCTATGAGATAGGTATATCTCAATATATTATTATGACCCTTGGTAAATTGTTCCAATGGTTAATTATCCTCACTGTCAAAAATGTACACTTCTTTCCATTCTGAATTTGTCGAGCTTCAGCTTCCAGCCACTAGATCATGTTATAATCTTTCTTTGCTAGATTGAAGAGCCCATTAACAAATATTTATTCCCAACATAGAGAGTGTAATCACATCATCCCTTCACATTCTCTTTGTTAACCTAAATACATTGAGCTCCTTGAATCTAGCACTGTAAGGCATGTTTTCTAATCCTTTAATCATTCTTGTGGCTCATGGGTGGTATGTGAATCACCAGCTGGGGGAGGCTAGTCCCTTCCGCCTGAGACCCTGCCCCTTTCCGTGCTCCCCGCCGGAGCCCAGAGCCCCCCCACCACAGCCACCCACCCCAACCCCAGGCTAGCCCCCCTAGCCCTGGAGCACTGGGAGGGTGGTTGGCATATAGCCACAACTTCCCCACCCCCGCATCCCCAGAGTGCTGAGAGGCTGAAGCTCCCCCAGCTCTGGAGCACTGGGAGGATGTGTGACCACAGGCCCCCGCAGACCCGGAAGGGCGGGTGACATGTGGCAGCAGCCCCCTCAGCCCCAGAGCGCCGGGAGGGCAGGCATAGGTGCTGGAACTAGGGCTGCGGGGGGTACTTCAGCACCTCCTGGCTTGAAGTGGTTTCCATCA